AAACGAAGGGCAAAAGAGCGGAAGGCAGCAGCCATAATTGTTCATGTTCACAATGCAAGTAATTACGCGCCGGCGACGCGACGTCGAACTTCCGTAGTCGTTTTTATGGACTTAATAACTGCATCTAAGAAATTGACTTGTCTATGTTATCTATAAATTTAGTTTACAAACTTATTTTATTAAAACAGACAAGTCTTAATCTATATTAAAATAAACTATATATAAGCACTTTTGAATATATATTTTTTATTCTACCCCTAATTCGGAACGTAGAGTCTTCACAAGAAGAATGAGCAAGAAACTTGTATGTTGCTCTTTTAAACACATATTAAATAAAAAAGACACGTGTAATAAATATTGGGCTGTATAAATAATTTGACCAGAAAGTAGCAAAACATTGTAACAGTTTAAACATTGGCTTTAGTTACCATAAGGGATGAAAATAAAATAGATATTGCAATTAAACGCAACAGGCGCGTCCGCGCCTGTATGTTTTGTACAGAAATGATTGAACATATAATTGATATTAAAATATTAATGACAGGATTCCAATTTGTCGCCACACTTTAAAATACTGATAAATTGCGGCCCCGGAATTTCATTAAGCCATCTTTTCATTCGCTCTGCATAATTCCCTTTCATTTTGTCGTGAATATTAAAATTATTATCGGAACGTTATGTGGATTTTGTATAAAACGTTTGCTAGGTGAAAATTAATAGACGCCATTAGCCTCGCTCAAGTTTGTTTGAATAATGTATTCCATGATTTAGATAAAAATATTTCTGACCTCAAAAAAACTGACAATTATTGAAATATAAATGTCACGAAATACTATTTCCTAGCAACTAATTTGCTATACATATATATAGTTATATAATAATAATAATATCTCAGGACAAATCACACCATCGCCACAAATAGAAACAACATCCCGACAAATAGCGCCATCTAGTCCCAAGCTAAGCAGAGCTTGTTTTATGAGTACTAGACAACTGATATAAAAACAAAGATTTTTTTAGTACATACATAATATACCTACATAGAAAACACCCAGATCGATACAAACAATAATTCTCATAAATACAAATGTTTCACCGTGAATGGAATCGAACCTGCCATCATCGGAGGCGGTGTCTAAACCGCTAGACCACTGAGGCCGAAATTTAGATTGCATTACAAAATGACCGTTAAAATCGACCCTTAACACATTAAGTGTCATTACAAACCATTACATAACAGTGGCACTTTCTAGAATTCGTGAGTTGTTCGCACATTACATTTGTTGTAATAGGCAGTTAACTTTGTTGAGGCTACTCCAACTCGAGGGTAGGCCGAACAGATGAGCAGCGTAATGAATATTACAAATTTAGAACCCTTCAGTTGACCGGCCGTAATGAGGGAAATTCTATTACTTCTCCACATAATAGGGTTATGAATTTATAATATAACTACTGGTGACTGCGACTCTACGCATGTACTTTTGTACGGGAACAATAATAAACGCGTATCCATCCATCTATTATTTTATTAATAAAGTCATAATAAATACATATTTACAGTCATAATGTACAGCTACGGTAACCCTTTACTATTAATAATTAATAGAATATGTTTTCCTGCCTTCTTTAAGTTATGTATTGATTAAGCATCCTAATTCCTCCAGCTGTTACGTGAAACCTTAGCGGACATAACTACAGACAAACAGACAGTTTTGGGCACGTTACAGTTTTAGTATGGTAAAGAAGATTATAATAATTATATTTTAGGAGATTTTGTTACATTCAGATACATGGAGAAATAGTCAATTTTTAAAATTCACAAGTTGTAACCCAGCGAATTTGTTTGCATTTTAAAATTAAGTTAGTCCGTAATACAATCGAATTTTGCCGTCAAATTTAATTAAAATCTATACAGTTTTAACTAACACAGACAACGGTCTTATCTACCTTACCTCAAAACATTCTTAAGAAAATTAAATCTTAAAATACGCTGGTCATATAAAAAAGTTGCGGGTAAAAACTAGTTCAATAAAGTAACACTCCATTTCTCCACTAACAATAGGCGACAATACACAGGGTATAGTAGGTTTCAAGTATGCACAAAGCAGAGCCTGTAATCCACCGCGCGACATTACACCTGGAGGGTACTCGGGCGCCGAGTGCGTTTTGAGTGCACGCGTACGTGTTTTGTACGCAAATGTTATGCCAAAACATGTGGCAAAGTGTTGAAACATGAGAATTTTATGTTACCTTTGTGTGATACCAAAAATGTTTTGTTTTACCTACAGTTTTGAGGAAGTAAGTGTTCAATTCTACTTACTTTTTTATAGCATAGAGACAAAAGATCATACGGATCACTTGATGGTAAGTGATTACGGCCGCCCGTAGGCACCCGCAACACCAGGGGAATTGCAAGTGCATTGCCGGCCTTAGAAGGAAAATGCCGTGTCGGTTTGGAGAGACCGTTGCTGGAAGGTAATTCCTAAATGTGCTTGTGATTGGTAAAAAGTTTCTAGAAAAAGGCGCGGTGGAGGATAGCTATTCATACAGATGGCAGACAGTGCGATGGTGAAATCCCGTAGAACAATTCCTCAATACAGTCTCCGTATACATTTGTCAATTATGTCATGATTGACTTTTATGATTATTTTTACAATCCTTAAAAACTAGTTAATGATTTTTGTAAAACGAAAAATTAATATCCTATACATTGGCTGTTAAAACTTGTTTATACCAACAATTTGCATAAACAAATAAAATCTTAATAATTTTTTATATTATATTGAAAGTTATAACTTAATAGAATTATCCAATTAAAAAACATTTAAAGAAACTCTAAAGAGAGGATCAAAAACTTAAAACATTTTATTCTCTAACTGGATGTTACGAAAGTCACATTTAAGCACGGCACAAATCGTATCACAAAACGACGACCCGTTTCAGAAGTATCTATTGACGTCCCGCAAATTTAATCACGGACGAGAATTGAAAAATATTTCCAGCGTGCCGCCATAACATCGTATTCACATGGTAATGGAAGGAAAATAGAGGAGGCAAATACAAAAAGTGTATCCAGAAAATACGATACTCCCTATTTGATGTTGCTTTAGTAACGTAGTAACATTCGACAAAGGCTTGATGCATTTCAATTTGTTTCTATAAAAAAACTAGATAGAAGCGTATCAGCCTTGTTGCATACTGACAAAAATATGTGTTTTCAAGATTCTGATACATCTATAGATAAACGCATAGAAGATAAAATGTGTATATGTCACACCGTCTTGGCTTACTTGTTAGGCAGCCATTTTTAATTCGATAATTAGTAGAGTACAATGTAGTGACCCCAAACTATATGGGAATGATAAATATAGTGCAGAGTTGCAAATCCTAAGAACGTTTTAGTATATATAAATTATTTTATTTTTTCTATCAAATTTATAGTCTTATACTGTCCGTGAGGCCACTTATGGCTTACACAGAATAACAGCGTTGTGGCAGTTAACTGTCAAAGCATATTTCTATATACTGTATATATTTCATGTTATTACTTAACAAAAAATTTTTATCTTTCTTTCATCTGAGTTAATAATACTCGAAACAATTACTTTCAGCAATAAGGCCGCCTTATTGTAACGATACATGTGTCCTTCAATATATTGTTTACGACTTTTCTTTACTGTACAAAGAAAGTATATTCTATTATATATCTATTTAATAGTTACATAACGTTGAATTATAGTTTCTAAAAAACTACGTATATGTACTTAGACCATCTCAACTATATATAGTAAGGATGTAACTTTACAATTGAATACGGGCATGCAAATAGATCTAACGTAAGTTGGGAAAGTTAGTCCATGAACTGAAGGGAGGACCAAGCGCGGTTCATTAGCGATCGTACGTACTTCCTGCAATGTGGACCAGACGTGAGTTCAAGACTTACGAAGTTAAAAAAATTAAACACACATATAAAGTTCAGCTGAAATTGTCTACAATAATATATTTTACTAATATTATAAAAGCGAGTTTGTGAGTATTGATGGGTGTAGGTAATGTACTCTTTCACGCAAAAACTACTTAATGGATTTTGATAAAACTTTACAGTAATATAACTTATACATCAGTAAGTCAAATAGTTTTTGCGGGAAAGAGTAACAAACATCCATCCATGCTCACAAAGTTTCGTGATGTTTAGGATTTAAAATAACACATACGCTATAAGTACACGTAGGTGAAACCGCGGGCACAGTTAGTCTTTAATAAACTAAATTAAATAATCTTTACTTATAACAATATCGTGATATCGTAACGAGACGAAGCTATCTGATTATGTGTTAATATTTCACATAAAAGTCAAGAAAAATTACATAGAAATTTTCACAGAATATATAGTTTAATTATGTGTCAACATATAAGCTATAGAAAGTAGGGAAAATCCTAAATGGTGAGTCTAAATTATACAAAACAGGGCCACCGATAGGATATATATATTTTCTATTAGTTAGAAAACATGTTTTCGTGCATGGTAGGCATGGTAAGCAATTCAACCCCTTATAGATACACTAGCTGTCCCGGCAAACGTTGTTTTGCCTTAAAATAAAAAAATAGGGGTTGATGATAGAAGGGTGAAAATTTAGGATTGTATGTATTTTTTTATGTTGTATCATAAAAAAATAGAAACCAAAAATTTTGTCTAGAAAAAAAAAATATAGGAATGGACTACCCCTAACATTTAGGGGGATGAAAAATAGATGCTAGATGATTCTCAGACCTACTCAATAAGCTCACATAATTTCATGAGAATCGGTCAAGCCGTTTCGGAGGAGTATGGGAACTAAAACTGGGACACGAGAATTTTATATATAAGATAACGTAGTTATTCTGTAACCGTAAGGTAGGTTGAAGTATAAATTATAAAAGTAAACCAATATAAAAATAGTATTGCCTAAAAATAAACCTAGGTAACAAATTAGGCTGACGGTATAATAAATGAAACATACCTGACTCAAACTATCTCCTAGACTGCCCTCATTATCAACAGGTCTGAACAAGTTGTCTTTATAAGCAAATTCTCTTGACCGCTTCTCTTGTTCCTTCATAGCTTGGCTCTGGAGTCTTTCGAAGAACTCTCGAGGCTTTAATGGTGGGGGCTCGTCGTCCGGGGGCGGCGGTGGAGGGGGCGGTAACCTCGTACGCTGGGTGCAGCGGATGAGGGATCGCTCGTCATCTTCTGTTGACCGTTCATCATGATCCGAGTCTGAACTTCTACTATCACGACGCCTTACACCTTGAAGATGTGGTTCAAGGAATGTGGCATTTCTGTAACAATAAAAAATTTTGTTGATTAAATATTTTGATTCAGCGATTACTTCATATAGTATGGTATGAATAGAATTAGCAGGTAGAGCTCAAAAAATAGTAAGTAAATATATCACATATATTATTCTGAAACAGATTTCTAGATTTTGACAGAATGTAATAGAAAACTTTCGAAACGAAATCGTGTATACTTGAAGTGTTTAAATATAGCAGAATATAGAGTTAAGTTTTTTTACTTAAATGCGATTTGAGTTCACAGTAGATCTGCGAGATTGGCGTGTTCAATCTAATCCAAAACATTAACATTACAATTGAAATATTTTTAGACACTGAACAAGATTGTGCAGATGATCTAATAGTGGTACTCATGTGTCCATATATAAACAAACTTCAAAGAAATCGTATGAACAAGAAATAGATCGAAGACAATTTACACCTATATATGTCAATACTTATAAAAACGTCTCTTGTGATCGATGATTAAACTACAGCTAATACTATTAAGCTATAATAGTTTTTTTACAACGTTAATATTTGCTAAGAATCTATGAAAAAAAGACGCAATGCAAAGACGTAGGCAGCAGCCAGTATATCTAATAAGATTGTAGCATCAATTCCGGAAACATTGTAAGAATTGTAAAATTTAACAAAGTCCAACAGAGAAACGATATCAGCAAATGAAAAAATTGGATTCCGCTGACAAATTTAATAAAAAAGAAAGTAGCTTCACTGAGTCTAAGACTTTAATAGGCAATTACCACTACAAAGGCGAGTTTAGAGCAAGTCAAAATTGGAAAATTCAATCTGGAGTCGGTTCAAAAAGCACTTTTAAAATGAATATCTCTAAATTGACTATCTAATGGAGATCTGCGTTATTTAAGATAGAGTCAGAGAAATAAGATGCAGTTAAGCTTTGCTGCAATCACTGAAACCGTGCTGCACGTTGCATAAAAATATTCCTCATAACGAAATCGTAGTTGAACAGATAACGTTTTATCAAAAATTGACTTTCTTACGTAATTTTCGTTATTTTGTTTTGATAATTTCCTCAGCCCTTAAGAGTTAGAGCTTTCTTAACAATTAAACTATGTAATGCAAAATTATTATGTTTTTTAAAACTCTACTCTAGAGACCAGTGTGTCCATACAAATAAACATTTGTATATTAACTATTAGCATAGGTACATATATGTAACTGTACCTATGTTTACGTAATTTACATATTTCTATCGGTTATTTTGGACCCAGAACATAAGCAACGATGTATAAATTGTCTGGGATTATTATTACTTACTAGTGGTTGCCGTATAGTGGAAATTCAACCATACTTAATTTAAATTATAAGTTTAAACATTATTAAGGTTCTATTGTCAAAGCCTGTCGATAATTTAATTAACTTTAAGATTTTTACGCTTGATAAAAGCAGATTTTGCAAGGGCCATGTTTTTATATAACATCATATATGTATGTACCCAAAATTATTATTACTGTACTCCTATGAGTGTGTAACTACCTTGCAATGTATTTTATAATGCATAATTAAAAATATATATATTAGTATTCTGCACTGCTTTATACAAACTATAAGCGTGCGAAATTTCATACTCCTCTGCGCAATTTGCGTAAACAGGGGTAAAGTGAGGTTTTTGCTTTAGGTTTTAATATAATGATAACGTCTAGTGTAATGATCCCTCTAGTTTTTTTAAATAAATAATCTAATTTCCAAAGATTGTACTCCAGATCGATAGCTAGCAACCGCCCTGACCAGACCAAAGGGACATTAAGCAAGATTTATTTGCCACCGTTGCCTCGCTCACTCGTATTAATTAAAAACCTCTACACGGCGCGATTTTGCGCCCAGTGTGTTGGACAACCCCTCTACAGTTATATGTTTGTTTTACACTATATATACCATATATATATATATATATATATACGTTACCTAGTTATTTCGTACGTATTCTCCTCAGATACGGTCCTCTAGGTATGGTATATCTATGTTAGATATTGAAAATTATTTTGTATAATAATAATATCTCAGGTTAATTCACTGTGAATTAACCTGAGATATTCCCCCATCCAGTCCCCAACTAAGCAGAGCTTGTTATGGGTTTTAGATAACTGATATACATACATTTTTGTGAATGCATACATAGTATAGTTAGAAAACATCCAGACCTGTACAACCAAATTTATGGATACAAATATTTATATCGTACAAGGTACCGAACCCGCGACCATCAGAAGTAAGACGGTGTGCTAAACCGCTAGACCACCGAGGCTGGCGCTGTAATAGGGACTATTGTAGGGACTGGTCTGCTCTAATCTCAACTGATTTACCTTTATTTAGTTACTCAACCAGTTTGTTGTATGTTTATTATTTTGAGCCTAATGAATTGGTGCTGGTTGGTGATATGTATTGACACGTTTCAACTTAAAAAAGTAAAGTTACAACTAAATTATTTAAAAAAGCAACACGCCAGTTCATTGCTGGCCCTGGCATAAAGTGATGACTATTCAAAAGTGCTTCAATGTAAGTTTATTTGAATAAATATTTTTCTTTTCTTTTCTATTCTAGTATAGGTAGTAAGCTGAAACCAGAGCGTATCTGTGCGCTGTCATACGCAAAATTTATCTGCGACCGCTGTCGGCCTGCCGAGTTTTTATATTAAAGCCGGTAATAACGTTGTCTGGCCGACGTTGTGGTGACACTCAATTTGTTACTGACGGACGGACGGATCATATACTTTCATATGTAAACAGGAAATTCTGTGCGACATTATTTTTGTTTGCATATATTTATATGCTTATAAAAAAAAGCATCACCAGCATATGCTTTTTACTCTATTCTCCCAAATTTGAATTAAAAAAATATCTGTATTATGAATTATGATAAACATGTACAACTTTATTTGAAACGAATACGAGCTGAGATTCTTGTTAGTTCTTCTCATCTCGAAATCATTCCGAACTGACAGTAGATTTGACATATCAAAAGAGTCTGCAATGGACCTACATGAATAAAGATATTTTGAATTCTAACCTATTTATATATACTAGCTACTCGCCCCGGCTTCGCACGGGTGTACATGTATTATATATATAAACCTTCCTCTTGAATCACTCTATCTATTAAAAAAGCAGCTTCAAAATCCGTTGCGTAGTTTTAAAGATTTAAGCGTACATAGAGACAGACAGCGACAACGACTTTGTTTTATACTATGTAATGATACATATATATACTATTTATTTAAGTACCAATTATTTTACTAAATTTTAATAATTACATTTTATTTACGCTCCGTATTATACTTGTTTTATATTATATCTCCAATAACTGTATCCTTTTTATTGTAAAACAATTTTATATTCTAAATTTCTGAGCTCAGGACGTCAACAGAAAAAAAGTAACCTTTTTTGTGGTATGTATATGTATCTAAAAAAATTAACAAATAAACTGAACAAGATAGGCTACAACAAGAGTGAAACGAAATGAATTCACTTTCATTTGAGGTCAGTGGAATATGTAATAAAGGAGGAAAGCGCCCGGTATTGGTTCCCGAAATCTCATTCCCGTACTCTAATTACAAAACCGCTTTAATCTTATCTGCGTAACGATAACAGTTATTGTTATCGTTATATGCTCGTATCGTTATCTATTATTATTATGTCGAATATTATTCAGGAATATTTCATACTATATCTGTTATTCCGCGATTAAGAACGGCCGCGGTTGTCTAGCGGTTTAGTTTCAGGTTCGATTTCTCGCACAGTAAAAACTTTTGCACTCAAGAGTATGATCGTTTGAATTGGTCTAGGTGTTTACTATATATATTATGTATGTACCTGTAAAAATGTTTATGCATTTTTCAAATTCAAAATATCTTTATTCATGTAAGTCTATTACAGACTCTTATGCTATGTCATAAATCTACCGTAATTTCGGAATGATTTCGAGATGAGAAGAACTGACAAGAAACTCAGCTCTTATTCTTTTCGAATAAATGTTGTACATGTTTACAATAATACATATTCATTATATATAGAATAGAGTGACCACCAGCATATGCTATTGCAAAGCAAATAGTCTAATCACTGTTCATAACCCGAACAGATCAGTCCTCACATTTATATAAATTCTTTAGTGCCCATAACAAATAGATAGACATTCGCATTTATATAAACAACTTCATTTATACTTTTCATGTTGTTAAGTGAAGTTTTCATATATAAGTATATTATAATTAATTAATAATAATTATAATTAAGTATATATATATACTTATTATAATTATATATACATTTGTTAAGTAATAATATGAAGCCAAGTTCCGTTTGGGTTCATTAAGTTTATTTACGTCAATCAACGTTGTAACAAGCGAAAAGTAATTTGAATCTATGAATCAAGTGTAAAACCACCCTTATCTCATCTTTAATAGGGTGTCCACGCGATAGCAACAAATCAGCATCACGTGACGCGGCCGCCCATTATGTGTGACGTGACACGTTACCGAGATGACGAGGATTGTAATTAATTAAAGAGTCATATTTGGCAACTACTTTGTCACAGGTGGCGTGTTGAAAACATAGATTAATATTGTTAAATTGTAGTTCTGTGGTTTGGTTGGGATAATATTAAAAAACACAGCAAATCTTACTACACTGTACAGGAGTACTTACTTAATTAAAAACATTGACATGTATAATTTATAAATATTTCATTAATACGAAATTGACATACTCCTATTATAAATAATGTATGTACTTAATATTGACTAACGAATAATAACCAAAATTGACATCTGTTTTGTCTGTTGCATGTCAGAAATGACAAAATGTGCGAAACTGCGAATTCTAAAGACCTTAAAAACTACATATGTACCACATTTTAAGCAATAAATATATTCATTTCATATAAATACAGACGACCTCGGAGGTCTAGCGGTCTAGCACACCACTTTATGACCGATGGTCGCGGGTTCGATTCCTTGCACGGCACGA